GTAGAAGCAGAATGATATGGTATATAATGTGATATGAGATATAATGTGAGGAAACCAATGATAACCCCTATCACTATTTAAAAATCAAATATCTATGTAATATCATCATATAATGTAATGTAATAAAATAATTAAAGATAAGCAAATAAAGGAACCATCAGTCACAGTAAAAAATGTTGGGAGAAACAGTGCTTGGATAATAAAGACTATGTGATTGTGTGCACCAATTGTGGGCAAGTAAATGGCTATAACCAATCTAAGAGCTTTTTGGAGCTTCCATAATGACAAATGTAAAATAATAGTTCGGTCAATATATCTCAGGAAATACTATCTTAATAAGGTAATATTTAATATGACCAAAACGTAAGACATAACAGTAACCACAAAGATCATAGCAGGCTTTGAAAAGATAAACAATGTATTACCGCAGATCAATGATAATAGAGAGCGAATGATTAATATGAATTTCATCATGATAGTAAATGATATGCAAAGATTTGGTTTCTTGAACCGCTTATAAGGTTTTTTAACAACCGAACCTAATTGGGATAGTAGTAAAGTACCAGGGTCTCTTAACACTTACTTACCAGATATCAGTGATTTTGTGCTGTTATTATTGCGCAGTAATTTTTCGCTGCCTTTTTCGTATAATACTTTTTATTTCCTGGAATCCATATGCTATCTTAACTTTAGATATGCTCATCGCCCAGAATTCAGCGACATATCCGGGACTTTCATTGAGACGCTGGCGCTAAATTTAAAAGCTAATTAGAAAATGATTGTCAAACAATAAAGGAAAAGGGCTGAAAATGTCGAGGAAGGCTTACGTTCTCTTCGTTTACGGATAAACTACTTTTCAAATGCTACTTTTACCATATGGCTTTTACAGAAGAAAGTTCAATTGAACAGTGTATCATTCTCACTTTGTTCTTGCGCTTTCAGAAGAGGTCGTAAATTTGCCTTGAAAATTGACTGTGTTAGCATCCTGCTTGTATGAGAAGTCGATCTCAGCGCACTTTCAGGCGTAATTTATCTTCACTCAATTGCTAGATTTCTCTTTTACCATATGGTTATTTTTATTTGAGATTCTAGAAAGCATCATAGAAATTTTCAAGGGATTCCAAACTTTGGAAGTAGTCGCCAAACGCGAATTTCGAAAACGTTTGCTCAGCATCGTAGTGTTCTATCCAAATTTGTCCTTTGGAGACCCCCACGAGAATACAAGTGACCTATTTTAAACTTCCCGCGAGAATATCAAGGTATGCTAAGCTCCGCCTCCGCAAACAATCGCGCACACGCCGCCTAATTAGTATTGAAATTGAGGTGGTAACTAGACAATGCTTAAAAAGCTGTAAAAACTTTTAAGATATGATCGCTGAGATCGCTGCAGAAATATTCAGCAATCGTTACTACACCTATTATTGTCGCAAGATAGACTCTTGTTCTATCTCGACGATCGTCGCACTCACAAGCCGGTTGTCGGAAGCATCGCTCATATTTTTCTCTACCGATTGAAGCGATTTTAACGGAATAGAAAATAGGCAATAACATAAAACAGAACATCCGGCTATCGACCTCAATCCTTGGTTGGAGGTTCATGGAACCTACTTTTTTTGCAAGTTCGATTGTTGAACTAATCGAACTTTAAAGATACCATTATTCTCTTACATGTCCCCTATTTGGATTTTTCCTTTGGCTGGTCTTTATGTTTGACTCAGAAATGAAGTTACTTTCTTACTTAAATACGTCTAGCAATGTTTGCAAAATTCAGTATAACCGTTCATTAAAGAAAAGTGTTATTTACAGACAAATGTTATCAATTCAGATGCGTAACTATTGGCAACTGCTGTCTAATTGGCTCTAATGTCGCAACTATTGTTCCCTCGAAACAATTAACTTCGGGGAAAAAAGCTGCTTTAATCATAAGTCTTCTTCAATCGCAAAAGCAACCTAAGTTTCAAGAGTCTCATAATCTCAG